ATGTCATCTTATCCATGATAAATGAAGGTATGTATAATTTTGTCCCTGATCGATTCTGCACAATTTAAAAACATGTTGCTATAACACTATAACAATATACCTCAGGTGACTGCTCAAAGCCCTTGGGCCTTAGAGAGGTGGTGATGTTCTATATTATAACCTGGCATATGTGTGTTTAATGATTTTTGGTAATACCTGGTACTTTGTATACAGTCTAGATGTGTTTAATCAAACAAAACAAGACAGAAATGAAGAATATTATTTATAGACACAAAGCATGTCAACTTAATTGTGTCCCTGATACATGTATTCAGAGAAATATGAAACTATAAAACCAATGGTTGAGGTTTTGGTGGTCACTGTTTACCAGTACCTGTATATAGTGGTCACTGTTTACCAGTACCTGTATATAGTGGTCACTGTTTACCTGTGTGTAATGGTCAGTTTACCTGTGTGTAGTGGTCTCTGTTTACCTGTGTGTAGTGGTCAATTTTGAGTACAAATTGTCACTTTACTTGCAAGAATTGTATGTAGAGAGTCAAATGTTTACCTGGGTATAGTGGTCACTGTTTACCTGTGTGAAGTGGTCACTGTTTATCTGTGTGTAGTGGTCACTGGTTACCTGTGTGTAGTGGTCACTGTTAACCTGTGTGTACCGCTTTTTGTTTACCTGTGTGCAGTGGTCACTGTTTACCTGTGTGTAGCGCTTATTGTTTACCTGTGTGTAGTGGTAATTTTTTATCTATTTATCATACTTGTATGTTTTATTACAAACTTGGTTTCCGTTTGAATAATTGTGACGAGATGACAATGAGATGGTGTAAAAAAAAATAGATCTGTCCAGGGGCTGGAGGGGTGGGGCAAAACAGAGAAAAATGGCTGATATTTTAAAAATCATGGCACTCAGAATGAGATGTACAAGATTCAAGTTTATTTTATGGATGGAAATGCTCTTAAATTTATGCATTATATAAATTGTTAGTTTAATTTCCATTTGGGCATCTGTTCTCCTTGGTTTATATAGAGAAATAACACTTTTGACTATATATATATCTTGTCCATTTTCAGCAAGAAATATTTATTTGAATAGTTTTAAAGTTCTATTCCTTTGGTGACATGACAAGTATTGTATTTCACTTTGTTTACATGTTGATTTCCACATCACATCTCAACAATGAAATTGAGCTACATACCAGTACCTATAATATATCTCAGGTGACCGCTAAAGCCTTTGGACCTCTTGTTGTTAGAGAGGGCGTGATGTTCTATATTATAACCTGGCACATGTGTTTAATGGTTTTTGGTAATACCTTGTATACGTTGTATATATACAGTCTAGATGAGTTTAACCAAACAAACCAAGACAGAAATGGAGAATATTATTTATAGGCACAAAGCATGTCATATTATGCTTGATAAATGAAGGTGTGAATAATTTTGTCCCTGATCGCTTCTGAACAATCTAAAAAAATTGTTGATATAACACTTGGAGTAATATTTGCATTACAGAAGATCACATTACATAAACTTAATACTGAATACATGTATTCAGAGAAATATGTAACTATAAAACCAATGGTCAAGGTTTTACCTGTGAATGGTGGTCACTGTTTACCTGTACCCGTATAAAGTGGTTAGTTTACCTGTGTGTAGTGGTCACTGTTAAGCTGTGTGTAGTGGTCACTATTAACCTGTGTGTAGTTGTCACTGTTTACCTGTGTGTAGTGGTCGCTGTTTATCTGTGTATATTGGTCACTGTTTATCTGTTTATATACATAATGTACTTGTATGTTTTGTTTGGAAGTGTGTAGTAGCATATAAACATTTAGGTAATGACTTGTTTGTTAGAGAGGCCATGATGTTCTATATTATAACCTGGCAAATATGTGTTGGTTAGATGAGTTTAATCAAACAAACCAAGACAGAAATGGAGAATATTATTTATAGACACAAAGTATGTGATCTTATGCTTGATAAATGAAGGTGTGAATGATTTAGTCCCAGAATTAAGATCTCATTATATAAACTTAATACTGAATATATGTCATTGGTAGATGAGGCTTAAAACTTGTAAAATTGGGATTCCTAATCCAACACCAGGGGCCAGGGTGGGGCCCCAAATAGAAAATTAACCAATATTTCAAATATCTTCTTCTCCAGACTCAGAGCAGTACAACAGTCTATTTCTCTGCATGGATGGAAAGATCATCAGGGATTTTATTTAAACTGTAAATATCAGTACCCCTGGGCCATCTGTTCTCTGTTGGGGAGGGGGGTAAAGTTTACTATAGATTATAAAGGGAAATAACAACTTTTGGTATATTTTGTCAATTTTCTGTAGGAAATTATTCTTACTTGGTGAAAATCATCCTTGGAAGTGGATGTTAGCAAACAGTAAAATTATGATTCCTGCCCCAACCTCAGGGGCCAGGGCGAGGCCACAAAGGGAAAATAAACCAATATTACATAAACCTTCTTCTCCAGACTCAGAGGTACTAGTCTATTTCTCTGCATGAATGGAAAGATAGATCATCAGGTGCATTTTCGGTTTTGTAAATTTCAGTAGCCAGACCATCCATTCCCCCTTGAGGAGGGAGTAAAGCTTACTGTAGTTAATATAGGAAAATAACGCTTTTGGGTATATTTTTATTTGGTCAATTTTCAGCAAGAAATTACTCAAACTTGGTTGGAATGATTATGATGCCAAATAGCAATTAGATGGTATGAGAAAATAAGATCCTGTCCCTTCCCCAGGGGCTGGAGGAGTGGGGCCCAAATGGGGGAAATGGTTAAAAGTTCAAAAAAAAATCTTCTTCATCAGACTCGGATGTTTTACAAAACAAATACTCTTCATGGATAAAAAAGTCTTTAGGTGCATTATCTAAATTGTAAATTTAATCACCCCACCTCCTAGGTCATCTGCTCTCCCTTGGGGAGAGGGTAAGTTTACTATAGTTTATACAGGTACTCGATTAATAACACTTTTAGTATATTTTGTCTAATCTCGGCAAGAAATTTTTCAAACTTGGTTTGAATAATTGTGATGAGATGGTGTAAAAAGATCTGTCCTTGCCCCAGGGGCTGGAGGGGTGGGCCAAAAAGGGGAAAATGGCTGATATTTTAAAAAATCTCTGCACTCAGATTCAAGTTTATTTTATGGATGGAAATGCCCTTAAGTGCATTTTATAAATTGTTAGCTTTATTACCTTTTGGTCATCTGTTGTCCTTGGTTTATATAGGGAAATAACACTCCTGACTATATCTTGTCCACTTTAAGCAAGAAATACATGTCATTCTAGCTTGGTTGCAATAGTTATAAAGAAATTGAAATCAAATAGTATCAGTAGGTAAAATCCTGAGCTATCTCAGGTGTTGGTCAAAGAGGAAAATAGGCATAAAAACAATATATATATATATTATATTTCTCATTAGTAAAATATTTATTTGAAAGTTTTTAAAGTTCTTATCCTTTGTTTACATGACAAGTATTGCATTTCACTTTGTTTACATGTTGATTTCCACATCACATCTCAACAATGAAATTGAGCTACCAGTACCTATAATATATCTCGGGTGAATGCTAAGGCTATTGGGTCTCTTGTTTGTGAGAGTTCATGATGTTCTATATTATAACCTGGCAAATATGTGTTGGTATACGTGTATAGTCTAGATGAGTTTAACCCAACAAACTTAGACAGAAATGGAGAATATTATGTTTAGACACAAAGCATGTCATCTCATCCATGATAAATGCAGGTGTGTATGATTTTGTCGCTGATCGATTCTGAACAAGTTAAAAAAAATGTTGATATAACACTGGGATTAATATTTACATTACAGAAGATCTCATTATTTCCCCTGAATAAATCACAACTGAGCACAAAGCGAACAAGGCTGACTGAGGTTGGAAAAAAGCATACAACACAAGTGAGATATTACCTGTACAATTCACTACAGGTTCTCACTCAGGTATATGGCTTGACTTGTATCAAAAGTCTTGTTAGCTTGATGAATTATTGTAAAATATCCAATCAAAATACATGTCATCATTCTCGAGATTTGAAGCATTTTTCACATTTTTCTCGACAAATATATCTCCATAGACATCCGATCTTATGATATTGACAAGTTTAAATGTTTTTTTTTCCTGAATTGTGACTTTTATTTAGCTTGGAAAATTAAATGAACATATAAAAAGTGAGTTTTTCCTCAGTTATTGAATGATTTATTAATAATGAGTAATATAATTATTGAATTTAATATACAGTTTGGTGTGGCAGCCATATTGGAATGTCCTTAAGTTATGGAAAGGAGTTATATAGTGTTGATTGGTGTGTGCTTAAATTTATAACCATGGCTTTTATACATATAATATAAACCATGTAAATGGAAATACAAATTCAATTTAAGATCATATCTATACAATATCTAGAGCTATAACACAATAGGTGTAACATGTGGCAGACCTTTTAGCTCGACACATTGATATACAAATGTATGTATGATTTTAGATCTAATATAAGTCCGTGCTACAACACAGATACAGACAGATCTAAATCTGCTTATTATGGACATGCTAATTACAGTCGATTCTCTGTATGTTGCACACATACACTGCATATATCATTATATATCTATTGTAATTTCTGTTTCTACACAAATTCCCTAAACAAAAATCAACAAGCATAATTTCTATTAGTATTACAGACCACCTGAATGTAACTAAAATGACATATTCCTGTGTACTTATCAATGATGTCTCCAATTGATTTAGATGTGGTATAAAGAAGATGGAAGTGCCCGCATTGGCACAAGCTAAACGGGTTCTTCTGGTCTATTGTGCAGTCAGTTTGTAGGCCTACGTTGAAAGAAATGTACCTATCGACGTATGTCGATCTACGGAGTAAAGAACTGGTCAGTACCAGTGGCCGTGTGCTGAAATAAAGGATGAGGAGCTGATCCTTATACAAAGGGCGTGCCCACTTCGAGATTCTACATACCTTGTTGTGTATCTCAGTTCCAGACGTCTGACGTGTATTTAGACAAGCATGCCACCCGTTGTACCTGGTCGGTTGTGACGGAACGATTCTCGCTCCAGTGAATCGACTTGCCCCGACCTTTTGTTTTTGTTTACCCCAGAAGAGGCGACCTAAGGGGAGTAACTCTCCGAATCACATTGCATCTCTCTGGGGTACTACATTTGATTTGGAAAGATAATACATGTATATAGCCATCATGATTAATTTGATTTTTACGCTATTTTTGACAGATTTGACACATTTCCTCCGACAAAAGATAAACAATGTTGCACTTCTTAATTTAAGCTATCTGTGACTGCGGATAAAAACAATAACATGTATTCTAATTGCACTTTTGACAGTTATTTATTTCAATCTATAAGTATATAGTTAGTATTGTAACATGTTCGATCAGTTTACTTGGTGTTATACAACATAATTGGTTAAAAGTATTTTTAATTAATTCGATATAGTTTCTTGCCATAATCTCACAGAAGGTTAAAAACGTATTTTCCCAAAGGTTCATTTTGGTAGACATTTTTTCCCTGTTTTAATGGTAGGCCGGGATAAGTTCGGCCCGGGAGAATGTTTCGCCATTCCTGGTATTTTTGGTCTTAAGCAAGTATTTACAACTATGAAGATCTTAGCAGTTTTGGGTTGAGTTGGCTGGACGGGACATTCTCAAAAAACGGACAAAATGAGTAAAAGGGAGAAAGTTACTTTATGAGAGGAAAGAAATTAGAAAACCATGACCTCATTTCTATGGAAAGCCAAATTAACCGTGAAACAATTGAAGATACGTGTAGGTTTAATTCAATTGTACCTGTCTGTAAATAAAAAAAAAATAGGTACAATTATGTGTACCTTTCTTCATTTGAATTGAACCTACAATTGTATGCTCTATTATTTGAAGATAGGTGCAAATATTTGAACATTTCTTTCTCCTTTTTGCGAACTTTCTGTGAACCGAATAGCTACTTATTCATGTCGTTTTAATACGATTTAATACGATAAATAATGGACGCATGCTGTGAGCCTCTGTGTCCATATGATCAGTTGATATTGCAATATTTACAGTATGATATACTTCTGGTGTACAATTAACATGTCCTTTATCATATATATAAAATTAAGTTAATTATTTGTTGGTATTTTCCCAGTGATTGTCCAGTAAAATTTCAAAATGTTTGACATCCTCTGCATCTATAACATCTTGCGGCAAGTTGTTCCAGGCATCTACTACGCGGAAGCTGAAAAGGTGTTTTTTAATGTCTACAGCGCTTTTTGAATATATTTTTTTGAGTGTCCTCTTGTCCTGCTGGTGGTTTCCATTCGGAACATATTTGTCGTGACTCGTTCATCATAAATCTTCTTCACTATGTTGAATACGTTGATCAGGTCCCCTCTATTCCTACGGTGTTCTAAGGTTGGCAGGTTTAGTCTCTGCAAGCGTTCATGGTACGATAAATTTTTAAAACCCGGTACGAGTTTTGTAGCCCTCCTCTGGACGTTTTCTCTTATTTCGATATCCTCATCTTATAAGGACTCCATACACTCGAGGCGTATTCAAGGGGGGGTCTTACCAGTGCCTTAAATAATAGTTTGAACATTTTTTCGTCTAAATATGTGAATGTTCTTCTAATCAGTACTAGAACACTATTTGCTTTATTTACTCCCAACCGGATATGGGTTCTAAAATTCAAATTTTCATCCACTGTTACTCCAATGTCCTTTTCAGATGTTATATTTTCGAGTTCTATTTGTCCACCCGTTGTTCCCGACATGATATATTGTCTTTTCTCTTTGGAGTTAATTGAGAGCACTTTGCATTTGTTTGGGTGGAACTTGAGTAGCCATTTTGCTGACCATTTTTCAAGTTTGTTCAGATCGTTTTGCAGAATGTCTTTATAATTTTTATCCCTGATTTCTCTGTATAATTTTGTATCGTCCGCAAAAAGTGGAGATTTAGATTTTGGAATTTCGGGTAAATCGTTAATATATACTACAAACAAAATTGGTCCAAGCACGCTTCGTTGAGGAATACTGCTTATAACAGGGTAGGTCTTTGATGATTCTCCATTAACTAGTACTCTTTCATCTTAGCTAGCCAAGGGTTGATCGGCGGTACGATCTACCTACTCTAGGTAGATCGTACCGGATCAACCCTTGGCTAGCGAAGATAGTACTCTTTGGTATCTGTTGCTGAGAAAGTCTTTTATCCAGTTGGTTACCCGATCACTAACTCCGTATCCTTTACTGTTTAAGTTTCTTGAGTAATCGCGATGATGTAGAACTGTGTCAAAGGCCTTCATGAAGTCCATGTACAGTATACAACATCCAGTTGACCGCCATTATCAATTATTTCTGACCATTCTTCCAAAGAAACGTCGTACGAGTAACACATTGACATCTTCACAAGATCGTGGTTCAAAATAATATAAGCAAATGCAACCGGTTTGGCCAAACTACAGAGCTACAATTAAATATTAAGCGAACTCAGCATACATAATAGAACATTAGCTGCTTTTATAGTGTTTTGTAACTGTTAGCTTGATGTATTATATGATGTATTTATTTATGAGTCTGGTATAGAGGAATTGATAATTCCCGAACCGGAAATAAATGTATCTAATATCTAATGTTTTATAACTTCAGCTAGCCTTCAGACTGTACGGTTGTGCAATCCAGAAACCACACACCGAGCAGAGAAAAATCCGGAATCTCCGGTTATCGGGCAGCTTTGTATGTAACTGTCTAAGACTTCCGGTGTCTATGAATTTTGAACTAGTCAAGAAAGTTGTGGAATATAAACTGTTGGTAAGTATGGATATAGAGCCGTTTATTGCCATTGCCATTTCTAATATGAAAAAGGCAAAGCCTTAAGAGAGCGTAGCTTTTGTTGATTTCTGATATTTACTGATTCAGAATACTGCTTTCAGAATGAGGTAACTTATAGATAAACTTTATTTAAAGTCGGCAAGTCGAGGAATAACAATAAAACAAAACAAGCTCTAATGATAATATGACTCTGGAGAGAGCGAAGCTCGTACATTTGTTTCAATAGTATAGTATAATTTTTGAATCATAACATAACCCATTTTAATACATACAAAATGTACCTATAATTGATTTTTTATAATAAACTTTAATCTGTTGCTGGGCAAAATCATTCATCCTTGTACTTATATGTGTGCTCTCTTTTAGAATGATCCACATTCACACTACACCAATATGACGCATCACATATTAGTTTGAAGTTGACTGATTGTGCTACAGTATCCTACTAGACCATATTGATAGTAATAGAATCATAATTTGGTTCTTGTTTTATCCAAGAATACCCGTATATACCCCCTCCCTCTACTCATGTATGTTCATAATAATAATAATATTTTTATCCAAAAGAAACAAATGCCATTTGAAACAAAAACATAGAAAAAAAAAGATTAATGCGAGTTGTAGGCAGAATGTTTAAACAAATGATTTGAGGTGATATGCCAATCCATGAAGAATGTAACTGTTTTTAATATTTAGCATGTTAGACACAGCAGGTTAGAGACTGTCACGTCTCCCACCACTATAAGTATAAAATGAAGATTTTAGATTTTTAGGTCTGACACCTAACGGGGCCTGAGCTTTGCTCAAGTGACCTACAATGTATTCCAATCACTTTCCGTCCGTCGTCGTCCGTCGTGCGTAAACTTTTTACATTATCAACTTCTTCTCAAGAACCAGTGGATGGAATTTTTTCAAACTTGGTCAGAATCATCCTTGGTAGATGAGGCTACCAAATTGTAAAATTGGGATTCCTACCCCAACCCTAGGGGCCAGGGTGGGGCCCAAAAGGGAAAATTAACCAATATTTCAAAAATCTTCTTCTCCAGACTCAGAGGTATTACAGTCATTTTCTCTGCATGGATGGAAAGATCATCAGGGGCTTTATTTAAATTGTAAATTTCAGGACCCCCGAGCTATCCGTTCTCCCTTGGGGAGGGGGTAAAGTTTACTATAGTTTATATAGGGAAACAACACTTTTGGGTATATTTTGACAATTTTCTGTTGGAAATTATTTTTACTTGGTCAGAATCATCTTTGGTGGATGACGGTATTACATTGTAAACTTGGAATTCCTGCCCCATCCCAAGGGGTTAGAGCGGGGCCCCAAAGGGAACATTTACAAATATTTTAAAATTCTTATCCTTTGATGACATGACAAGTATTGTATTTCACTTAGTTTACATGCTGATTTCCACATCACGTCTAAACAATAAAATAAAGCTACCAGTACCTATGATATAACTCAGGTGACCGCTAAGGCCCTTGGGCCTCTTGTTCTTTTTAATAATTCAGATAATCCATGTGAAATGATGAAATCCATGAAGAATGTAACTGTTTTTAATATTTAGCATGTTAGACACAGCAGGTTAGAGACTGTCACGTCTCCCACCACTATAAGTATAAAATGAAGATTTTAGATTTTTCTTTTAAATAATTCAGATAATCCATGTGAAATGATGAAATTTAATGTTTGTACTGATTATATACATTAAAAATTCTACAGCAGGAGATTTCTCCTCTTCATCTTTGCTGTTGTCATACAGTTTTTAGGTCACCTGAGACAAAGTCTCAAGTGACCTATTGCGATAGCCTTTTGTCCGGCATCGTCTGTCGTGCGTCCGTAAGCAATTTACATTTTCGACTTCTTCTCCAAAACCCCTGAACCAATTTCAATGAAATTTTGCAGAAACCTTCCATGGCCAAAGGTCTAAAAAAATAATGGCCGGTTTGGTCCCCAGCCCCCAGGGGCCTGAGGGGCGGGGCCTGAGGGGCGGGGCCAAAAAGGGTCAAATTGACTAAAATTTCAAAAATCTTCTCAAGACCCAGATATGGTAGAATCAAATTCTTTTCATAGATGGAAGGGTCTTAAGGTGTTTTACCAAAATTGTGAATTTCTTGACCCTGGGGTCTCACGTTTCCCTCTAGGGAGGGGGTACACTTTACTATAGTTTATATAGGGAAATCACATTTTGGACCAACATTTGTTTAATTTCCATTGGAAGTAATTCAATTTGGGTTATCATTATCAGTATTGGGTAGCAGTTTGATGATATGCACATATCAACCC